TGCCCTGCAAGTGCTCTTAGGCCGTCTCTCCAGCCCCCTCTCCTGTCACCTCCCAAGATGAAGGTTCAAAACAGATGTTGCTAGAGACCCACTCTTGACACCCACAATGCCTATGGTGGTGGCACTGGCTGGCTTAAAATGAGCACAGCAGAAGCTCAGAAGACATTGGGCCTTTGTCCTCTGTGTGATCTTGGATCCAATCAGAGCCCAGCTTCTCAGTCTCTAAGTACCTCTTGAGAATCAGAGGTCATAACTATAACCCTCTTCCTACACTCACAGGGATGCAGAAACATGACCCCCGAAGCCCCGCACACTCGGCTGAGTATTAGAGGGTTTGGGTTAGGGTAGTGTCATGGCTCAGCCTACCCTAAAAGCCAGACTCCCAAATACCCAATGACCATCGGGTAAAAGAATCCAAAACTCATGAAGAAATCTATCCTAAGGGGAGCACATGCCTCAGGGTGGAAAGCCGGACACTACAGAGCAAACTCAATCAATCCAACCAAGATGCCATCGGCAGATTCACCAGTTCTGACACTGTCCTTCCCTGTCTTTATGTGTTTGCCATCTAGGGAAGAAACAATTTTCAAGGTCTGTGGGTGCAGAGACATGTGGCTCAGTGGGCAAGGGAGGGTCAGGAACCTCCTTTGCTCCACGTTTTTCAGGACACCGCCCCCGACCTTTTATTCCTTCTGGCATGTTACTGTGGAGGCCCCGAAAATAGCCAGCAGTAGGTGGCAGAGAGAGAAAGGGAGACCTTGAGATAAAGATACCTGTTTATGTTTGGGGCTCCAACTCTCTTCCCACAAGAATCCTCAAGGGCTGAGGATGTGCCTCGGTTGGGAAAGTGCTGGGTCGCACAAACTGGGCATGGTATGCACAACTATAATCCTAGCACTCAGGAGGCAGGAGGATCATAAGTTCAAGGTCATCCTCATGTACATATTGAGTTCAGAGCCAGCTTGGGCTACAGGAGACCCTGTCTCAAAAACAAAACAAAACAAACAAAAAACTACTCTCAAAATCATCCAAGACAGGGCCAGAGAGATGTCTTAGAAGATAAAGCCACTTGCCACCAAGCCTGATGACCTGAGTCACAACCCCAGGGGAAGGAGATAACTGATTCCCGAACTGTCCTCTGACCTCCATGCATGTGTGTGGCATGCACACGCCAGGACATACACAATAACAGTAAATAAAAATGAAAATGAACCATCCAAGATGGAATTGGGAAAGTCAGGGTCGAGTCTCAGCTCTGATCTCAGGCAAGTCCTTTTCCTTCCTTGGGCCTCAGTTTCCCCACTTGTAAGATGAGCAGATTAGATTTCTGAAGCCAATGCCCCTGCAGATTCTAATAGCCTATGACTGAAAGTGACCATCATGCAGATGTGACAGCTGCCAGGTCTGTAAATCTAGGCCAGGGAAGAAGAAGAGCCCAAGAAAACAGCAGCAGTTGCATATGCTGGACTACCTGAAGTCCTGAGATGTGGCTAGGACCATGAGAGAGAAGAATCAGAGTCAAAGTTTGGGTGACAGGGACAGCAGAAACCCTTCTGTCAGATCTCTGGCTGGGTGCTGGACCATCTGGGAAGGGGCAGGACAGGACAGCATGTGGCAGGGAAGGAAAACCAAGCAAGAGCTCCCAGGAGAGTCAGCCTGTCACCAAGGGAGAAAAAGACATTGGCAGTTTAGACTGTGTCACCTGCCAGGCTGGGGAAAGACACGACTCCACAGAACTTCCAGAAAAAATGGAAGGCTGAGAAACCACCCAACCAGACTCTCATGTGGCCAGGCCTCCTAGGGTCAGACAAAAGACCCCAGAGATGAGTCTGGGCTTCGCCTGCCTCCAACCTGCTGTGTGTGTCCCTGAGCCAGCCCAAGTTGCGTTGGTCACGTGGAATTGGTGGGGTAGACAGCTGGAAGCTCCCCTCCACCTGACAACATGGCAGGGTCCTCCTCCTAGCAACGAGTGACTTCCAACACCAAGGGCACTCTCAAGGCTGCTGAGTGCAAGACACATTCCCCTGAGTTCCAGAACACTGGCCACAAATGTGAAAGGAGACAGTAGCCAGAAGCAGATTCCTCATACCCCATTAAGTATCTGGAACTTTCCCAGCACCTCCGACTCCCTAGAATCCAGCCCTAAAATCCCACTTTGATTTGTAACTGGAACAAGAGACACCAAGACCCCCAAGTTCCTCATGACCCTGATTCCTCCACCCCACAAGTTGGGAGGGGCTCACCACTAGCCTGCTGAGCAGAGCCAAACCCTGAAACATGACCTCTTAAATCAGGAGCCTCTGCCCCCCAAAGACTGGAGCTTCCCAGAGCCAAAGTCAGCAGGAGCCAGCTTTTCTCCGTAGACAGAGAAAGCCCTGAGCCTGTGACATCTGGAGGCCAAGCAAAAGCTGGAGGGGCCAGAGCCCTGCCAGCATCCCAGGCACTCATGGAATCTTTCTGGCAGGAGACAGGTTGCCAGTTTGGGCCTCACACAGAGTCTAGGAATCTCACCCTTGACCATCAGTCACATGTGAAGGTCACATGTTAATCCTTGTCTCCTGAATGGGCCCCCTACCCAGTGCCCATACATTATGCATCCTTGATGCCCACCCCACGGCCAGCTTTCCTGCTCTTAAGAGTCTTTTGGAATCAACTTTGAGCAGGTCTGGTTGCTACTGTTGTGGTTGTTGTTTGGTGCTGGGAATGGAACCCCACATATGACACATGACAGGCAAGCACTACCACTGAGACACACCCCTAGTCATATGACCAAATGGCTCCCCTGCTTAAAATCCTTGAATGAATACGTGTCCCTTTGATTTGTCTACACGTAAAGTGGTCCATCCACCTCTTTGGGATGCTCGAACACAGCCCCTGCCTGCCTAGTCTGGCTCATCACACTCCCCCTTCCCCCAGTCCCTTTACGTCCCCCTCGACCCTCCACAAACCTGCTCTCTTCTACCCAGTGCCTCCCTGTCCAGCACACCCATGCTACTGCCTCTGCCAGCCCGCCTGCTCAGACACCTTCCTCCCCCGAACCTAGGGACACCAGTGTCCTGATGACGACTCCGATGTTAGGTCTCCCTCAGTTCTTTCCTTTCTCCTCTTCTCCCTAAGCCCCATAAACATATCCAAATATAGAGTACTTGCTGTCTGCTGGCCACCAATGCCCAACCTCAGCCTAGGAGCTCAGCACTCCCATTCCAGATGAGACAGGCACAGAGGGGCAAGGTGACTATCTCTCATCCCTCACACAGCCAATCCTCTGGAGCCCTGGTCTTGTCTACCTCTGCTCCCCAGTTCTCCTGGTATCCCTGGGGCAGGTCTAGCTCTGGGTGATAGCCTCAGACACTCTGGACACAATGGCCAACACATTCACAGTCAGCCTTCTTCCCTTTCTCTCTAGCCACCCTCTTCTTCCTGTCTGGACTAGGGGAACTTATGACATGTGTGCTGGACAGCTTTAGTGTCAACTTGACATACCTGGGTTGACGGAGCCTCAATTGGGGAATTGCCTCCATTGGACTGGCCTGTGACCATGACTGTGGGACATTTTCTTGATTGTTGAGTAATGTGGGAGGGTCCAGCCCACTGTAGGTAGTGCCACCTGTGAGCAGGTGGGCCTGTGTTGGATAAGAGAGCAAGCTGAGCAGGGGCCAGGGGAGCAAGTCAGTAAGCAGTGCTCCTCCATGGCCTGAGCTCCAGCTCCTGCCTCCAGGTTCCTGCTCTGAGTTCCTACCTTGGGCTCCCTGATGAACTGTGACCTGGGAGATATAAAATAAAACCTTTCCTCTCCAAGTTGGTAGTGGTCAGAGTGTTTTGTCACACCAATGAAGAAACAAACTAGGACAGCATGTATCGCAGGGAGACATTCAGAGGGGAGGAATTTCCTTGAATGACAGGTCTTGGTCTGGGAGCTGTGGAACCCTTCACTAAAGAAGCCATTCAAAGTTACCATTCAAAGGTTGGCAATATGGCTGGAGGAGATAGGGATGTTAAGAGTCCTTACTGCTCTTGCAGAGGACCTGGGTTCCCAGCACCCACACCAAGAGGCTCATATCTGCCTGTAACCCCAGCTCCAGGGAACCCAATGCCTTCTGATTTGGGTGGGCCCATGGTGCACATAGGCACACATACAAACATAATAATTTAAAAAACAAAGTTACCATTCAAAGTAGGCCTGCAGCCATCTGCCTCACTCTCTGCCCTCTGCCCCAGTCCAAGACTGGAGAAACCCACTGCACAGGTTTCTTGCTTTTTCAGACAGGGTCTCCCTGTAGCCCCAGCTGGCCTGGAACTCTCTATGTAGACCAGGCTGGCCTTGAACTCACAGAGAGACACCTGCCTCTGCGAGCTGAGATTAAAGGCTTGCAACCACTCTTAAAGGGTATCATGGCAATCAGATTGGCGCCCCTCCCCCCAATCACTCGTACTATGTCTGAGCAAACCTAGTATCTCTCAGGCATTCTGTTCTCCCCTAAACCCTGTAACTTACCCACAGGGCCCTCACTGTGCGCTGGGCAGGAATGCCTAGCCTCAGCCTCACGCTCTATCATTCTTATTTTTGCAGGCGAAGCCGAGGTTCAAGGAGGACCCCAGTTTCATTTTGCTCACACCCTATTTCCAAACATCAGCTTCTACTAAAACGCGCACAAGCACGAATCTCAGTCCGGAAAAAGTCAGAAAGAAACAAGAGTTTGGTGGGGAGGGGCTCACGCGGACAAGGCTTTGCATAATCCAAGGTCTGAGCGGCAGGTGCCCAGAGTTTGGAACTCCTAGGCAGAAGGCACCTGTCCTCGCCAACAGGCGGCCCCCGGAGCCGAGGCCCACGCGAGCTGTGCCGGGTGGCGTGGGTGCCCCGCATAGGCCCGGCACAGCTGCGTAGGGTGCGGGGCGCCGAGCCACCTCGGGGACCGGGACGCACGGACCGGCCACCAGGCTCTCCTTCCCTGGAGGGGGGAACCCACGGGACACCTCGGGGCGCCAAGGCGCAGACTCACCCGGCCGGCGGCGGGTCGGGCTGGGACTCTGCTCTGGGGCCCGGGGCTGGGGGCTCCGCTGCACCCCCACCCCGGGCTGCCTGCTCCGGGCGCACGATCGCGGGCTGCGGGGCGAGACGAGAACGCGCCGGCCGCTCGGGGACCGGGTTGGGGACGCAGGAAGAGCTGCCCGGCGCAGGAGGGAGGGACCGCGGGCGCCCGAGGGAGGCACCGCCCACCTGCCCACCCTCGTTGCGCGCCCTACGCCAACGGACGGGACGCGGCGGATCCCGGAGGCCGGGAAAGGGGGCGGGTGCCGCGCTGCGCAGGGTCCCAGAGCCCGCATATGCGGCCGGGGGATGGCAGTCTAGGGGGAAGGCCCGGCATCTCGGGCCCGAGTGCGCAAACTTGCGGTTAAACGGAGCTGGGAGTCCGCGCTCGGCTACCCGGCGACCTCACCTGGCCGCAAACTCACCTTCCCAGGCGCAGGCCGCTGCCTCCTCCACCCGCGGTTCCCTGGGATGGGCGGAGGGGGGAAGGAGGAAGCCAGGTGCACCAGCCTCTCGGCTCACGCCCTCCGCCAGCTCCCCTCCCCTTCCCGGGTTGCCCGGACGCCCTCAGGGTCTCTGGATCCGGTCCCTGCTTGGGTGGAGCGCGTTCTTGGCTCCAGAGTCCCCGCCCGACCCTGGAGTGTCCCCCGCTGGCAGGAAACCTTTCCTGCGAATTTTCCGCGGGTGTTCTCCCGCGCGGGTGGCGGATGGGTGGCTCCTCTGACCGGGAAGGGTGGGCGACCCGAAGCTGGGGCGTCACCTCACCTGCGACTCTGCCCCCAACCTGGAAGTTGTCCTCGGAACGCCGCGGCTCCAGGCGCCAGAACTAGGGTGACCCACCCAAACCCCTGATTCCAAACACATAAGGACATTATAATTCGCCTCCCCTACGGGCCTTGAGATTCAAGACGGATCAGATCCGCGTCTCCCTCTTTGGTGTGTATCCAACTCTTTGAAGTTCAAGATCTAAGAAGCCCTTGGGTAGCAGGCTGGGTTGTCAAAGACGTCGGTCGGGCACAAAAGGCGCCTCCTACTGGGGATCCACCGCTTCCAGACCGCAGGGCCTGACTGCATTCAAGTTCAACCAATTGCTGTCAAGTTCACTTATAATTCTTAGGTGCTCAAGGTGTCCACGAATTCATGGGTACACACGGTGTGCGTACTATATGACTGACTCCAACACATCCAGTCTCAGCACTGGGTGTGTTTTCCACCGCAACCTTTAAGCTCGAAGTGTTGACTAGTAGGACAACTTTGGAGGGTGTCTTGTAATTTGGGGGTACAAAAGGTATTTGGGGAAAGACTGTGGCTTGAAGACCACTGCTTCTCCCATTTTTATGATGAGCCAGGTCTCGGTTCCCAGCCTCTTCCCTGAACATTCTCCTGTAAGTCATCAAACAAATCTGGAGGAAGTTATTGATTGCACCCAGTTTCTAGAAAAGAAAGCTGAGGCCCAAGGCGGTGAAGTCATTTCCCCAATGTGTCAGGACTGGGAAGTCTCAGGATTTAGACCAAGCCAGCCCACTCCAACCATAGCAGATAGAGTTGGAGTTTGTGTTTCTGGGGATAGACTGAAGAGAGAGTTTAGGGATTAAGAGCGTGCACTGCTCTTTGAATTTGGTTCCCAGAACCTACTTCTGGCTGTACAACCACCTGTAACCAGGGAATCTGACGCCCTCTTCTGGCCTCAGAGGGCACCCGCACTCACATGCACAAACCCACAGAAACACACACATAGTTAAAAGAATCTTTTCAGAACATGCTTTCTACTCTAAGTGGGTTCCCTGTTCCTTCTTCCTGCCCATGCAAGTGCTTAATAAATATTCACTGGATGCACAAAAGCCCCAAATAAGGTACTAGGTTAGCCCATGAGGAGAAGCCCATGCTAAGCCAGGGGCCTAGAGTAGCATATTCCCACTGGAGAGGTGTGTAGAATTCATCTCAAAGTTTAGACAGTGAGTTTGGGGATTTTCCCAGACTCCAGTGGAAGGACAGGAAATGGTCACTGAGCTCTCAGGTAAACCCGGGCCCTCTAGGTTGCATGTTACCCTACAGGACTGACCATTGGAGAGATGTGGACTCCAGGGAAGCAAAAGGTCACTCAGACAACCCTGGAGCTGGAAGCTGAGAACACAGTAGTTTTCCATGTTGCCATCCAGCCCCAGACCCACCCCACTCTGAAGCTAACCCAGCTGGGCAGGTTCTGTCTATCTCAGAAAACCATCTTCCAAATGGGGAGAAGCTAGGGACCCTCACAGCCAAAGCCCAGCCACAGGCTAAATGAAGCCACCGGCAAAGGAACTGTATTCTACCTGCCAACTTATCCCACCAGCTGACCAGGGCCCGAGCTGTATGTCCTTGGGGGGGGGAAAGGGGATGACCCAATGAAATGAATCTCAAACAGTGGTTCATATTACCTGTTATCACAGGCAGCTCGGAGGAGGATGGTTACCATCTACTGAACCCTATGGGGTGATCACTCTGCAAACATTGTTGTCTGATCCTCACAACTGCCCTAGCCTCACAGGGGAAGCTGCTAAAACTCAGATTAGCTATACACCTGGTCTACCAGCATCCAGAGAGTTAGGTTTGAACTGAGATTCTCAGCAGCACCCTGGCCCTGAGTCCCTATGCCGGGAATCTCTGAGTGCTTACAGAACAAAACGGCTACGCCGGGAATCTCTGAGTGCTTACAGAACAAAACGGCTACCCAAAGATGTTCGAATCCCTATCCCCAAAACCACTTACCTAAGATGACAAAGATGGCTGCAGGGTGATCAAGTTGAGAACTTTGAGATGAAGGTTTGACCTGAGTGACCCTAGTGACACCAAGTAGTCACAAGGGCTTTTCTAAATTGAAGGTAGGGAGGGTCAGTCATATCAGAGACGTAAAAGTGGAAGTAGACGTCAGGTTAGGCTGCTGAAAAGCGGCTGATAGCCAACGGATGTTGGCAGTCAGAAATAGCTGGAAAGGGTAGGAATAGATTCTGTGCAAGAGGACCCAAGAAGGACTTCCTCTCCCTGTGTTGAAATCTTGCTTTTAGCTTAAGATGACCTTGTACTTGACCTCTAGAGCTGTGGGCTTGCAATTCTGTTGCTCTAGGTAAAGCTGCACAGTTCCTAGCAATTTGTTACAGTAGCCACAGGAAATGAGTACACTCAGCTGTCTAGGTTTATGCTGATTCTCCTGTCTTTCTGCTGATACTACACTGTCAAAAGGCCCCAGGACATAGCCTGAATCATAGATTTAGAAAGAGGGTAAGAATTCATCAGATCAGTCTCTATTTTCTGGCTTCTCTGCCATTTGTGAGCTGTTGTGACCTTGAGGAAATGTCTCATCCTCTCTGAGCCTCGGTTTCTTTAAATGTAAATGCAGTGATATTAGCTAGGCCTGGTAACGCAAGCCCATGATCCCAGACTCAAGATGCTGAGGTGGGAGGATTCACATTTGAGGCCAGCCTGGATAACTTAATTTTGTTAGTAGTGAGGATCACATGTTGGGCCTCATTCACGGGAGGTGAGTGCTCTCCCTCTAAGCTACATCTCCAGTCCTGGCCTGGGCAACTGAATGAGAGTCTCTCCAAAACAATTAACTCATTAATTGAATTAAATAATTTAAAAATAAGGACTGAAGATGCAGCTGAGTTGGTAACGTGTTTTCCCTACATTTGATCTGCAGATGGCATAAAACCCAGTGGGGGCGGCACACTCCTGTAGTCCCAGCACTTGGGGGATGAAGACAGGAGGAGCAGAAGTTCAAAGTCATCCTTGGATATATAGTGGGTTTGAGATCACAGAGACCCTGCCTGGTTGATGATGATGATGATGGTGATGGTGATGATGGTGATGGTGATAATGGTGATGATGATGGTGGTGTGATGATGGTGATGGTGATGATGGTGATAATGGTGATGATGATGGTGGTGGTGATGATGATGGTGGTTGTGATGGTAATGATAATGGTGGTGGTGACAGTGGTTGTGACGGTGATGGCAATGATGATGTTGATGATAAGGATGATAATGAATGACTGGGCATGCCTAAGTGATGCTTGTCTAGCATGCATGAGGCCCTGGATTCCATCTCCAGCACAGCAGAAACAAAACAAATATAGCAATGCTAATAATACTGTCTTTGCAGGATCAATACAAGGATCAGATGCATCAGGATATGACAGAGTGCATTGTGAGCGTCCCTGTGGCATCTGAACTGCAGTTGTTGGGGGCTGCGGCCTGTCCAGTCCTGAACATGAGGACTCCGAGAGGAGAAGACAATGTCCAGGGTGTTTTGCTTCACTCTGAGTGGGCAAAGGCCACTTAAAAATGGTAGCCTAGTCAGGTGTACTGGTGCATGCCTATATGGCCAGCACTTAGGAGCAGAGGCAGGAGGATCACAAGTTCAGTGTCATTCTCAGCTGTATAGTGGAGATGGAGGCCAGTTCCATAAGACACTGTCTCAAAACAGTAAATTAATTTTTAACTTTTATAAAGCAATAGGTCCTCCCTGGTCAGTAACTAGACCTTACCATCACCTAGCTGATTCTTCCAGGCACAGCCATGAAAGCTGGCTGCTAGTCTGCTGGTAAGAACATAATACAGGGTTAGAGAGATGGCTCAGTGAGTAAAGCACTTGCTGTCCTTGCATAGGGCCAGAGTTCCATTCCCAGTACCTACATCAGCTGGCTCACAGTTGCCTGTAACTCTAGATTTAGGGATCTGATGCGCTCTTCTGGCCACCACAGGTACCTGCACACATGTAACATACACACCCTCCCCCTACCCATGAATAACAATACATTAAAAAAAAAAAGATCCAGGTATGGTGGCACGTACCTTTAATCCCAGCACTTGGGAGGCAGAAGCAGGTGAATCTCTGTGAGTTCAAGGTTAGCCTGGTCTACATAGTGAGTTCCCGGCCAGCTGGGACTACAGAGAGAACTTGTCTCAAAAAACAGACAAAAATAATAAAAAAGAAAGAATGTGAGGATAATCAAGCCAAATGGTACTGACCCTTAGAAACTGAGATGTGTTCTTGTGGACAGGGTAAGGAAATATCTCCTCAATAAAAACACAGTCACAGGACTGGTGAGATAGATCATCCAGTAAAGTACTATATA